TATAGAGTACATGCGCTTTGAATTACTGGTACGTACCATCAATATAAAGTACATGCGCTTTGAATTACTGGTACGTACCATCAATATGAAGTGCATGCGGATTGAACTACCGATACGTGCCCTCAACATACAAGTGTATGCGTTTCATTTACGCACTGTCAACTTCAATCGTATATGTATACAACATCTTAATTAAACTTCTCTTATGTTTATTTTCAGGTACACCATGGGGATATCATTTCTACGTGGCAGAAGAACTCGGCAAGTACATGCTTTCACGTACAATATACGAAACATGCCGTGTTATACCCACACTTTTTATTGACGGGGCAAACTGATGAACTTAGAAAATGTATCACTCAAGGTGGATTACACAAATCTGTGAAAGACTCCTATTTTTTTCTATTTTGCAATTCTAGGTCCAGACGAGTGGTGGCAGAGTACCATGAATTGCGTTGGAATGAATCAATCACCAATTGATCTGAAAGAAAGTGAATCAGTTGATGAATGTTTTGGTGAGGTTGAATTCACCGGATTTGGCGACACTCCCCCAGAGGGCGCTACCATGACATTGGAAAATACCGGACATTACGGTAATACCTGTTTGATATATTATGAACGCTGGTTAAATAGAAAGAGGGGCAATGAGTGTGAGGCTTGTTATTTCAAGCTAACTAAACCGCAACAATTTTGTTTTGGCAATTAGACGTGTGGGATGATATAGTGAGTCAATAAGTACAAACATTTGGGAGGTGTATTACATTATTTACTTTTTTATTCTATTACCACTCGAATTTCAGCAAAGTCAGTATTGTCGCGATTCTTGATTAATGGGATATCGGGTTTTGGGAAACATAAAATTTAGTGCCAAAATAAACAAATGAGCACTATAATTATTTTCCTGGCACTTACTGGTTTCGACCGAATATGTCCAGGCTATTGACATTTATCACCAATTTTAATGACACTAGAATTGCACTTTTCAAAGTCAATTAAATTATAGGAGGCTATAGATTTGGACAATGGTTATTTAATTGGTGTTAATTTAACTTCGACTGAACATACGCTTGGTCGTATTTGTTAAGGTTAAGTGGGGATTCTGGCAACTTTTGTCGAAAAAAACTTTTTCTAAAGACGAAACTGACTGACACGATTTTACTTTCCGTAATCATCATTTGTGGCTCTCATTCTCAATGATTACTTGTAAATATAATACTTTATTTATTGATGTGAGTTATTGAGCTGGACAGTTCTTTAGCTGTGAGTCGCTATCATAAATTGCTACAACTATACTGACTATTTCTTCACATCACTATTGCAGTTAAAATGTTGTTGACTGGTGATTACTTGATAAGTGGTGGAGGTCTTGGAGCCACGTACAAATCATACCAATTTCATTTCCATTGGGGCAATGCTGACGAACGTGGATCGGAACATTACATGAATTCCGAAGCACACCCAGCAGAGGCAAGTACACGACAAGACCAATAATACATTTTTGTGCATATCGCACCTCCTAACGATAAAGCGTTTCTCTGACGTTAAAATGGCGTAAATGTCAGAACCGATGCCGTTTAAGTACAAATCTCTATGTAATAGTTAATTTAAAATATATGAACTCTCTGAGTACAGTGTTTTATGACTAGACTAGACTGGCGCAGTCGGGGCGATTAATTTGTTTTTGTAATTTAAATAAAATAAAAAAAATCGCGAAATGGTAACCTCCAAATTGACGGTAATCAAGTTTATGTATCAAATTAATGCTGGTACGCACAGTTATCCAAAATGTGGCTATAATACTGCAGGGTGGCGATAAGGTACCTTAGAGGATGTATTTTGCATACATGTGATTAATGGTTACATAAATTTGTTTTTTCAGATGCACATCGTAACATATGACACCAGCAGATTTTCAAGTGGCACAGAGGCCACTGGACAGCCCGACGGTTTGGCCGTTTTTGCTTTTCTAATTGAGGTACGTAGCTACACCATACACTTACGAACTTATATGAACAATTTCGATCAAGACTTGGTTACATTTTTGTAACAAAAGGTCAGAAATCAAGCCCACAGAATGTGTTTATGTTTATTCAGTAAAAAACTACAATGATGAGATAGCTAGGGCCTTCAAGTACGCACACATGTGAATGTGTCTGCAAGAGATCGGACGTCATGTTATCTATGTGCTTTCGCAATAAACTGGCAGAAGAAATGTTTACGAATAAGTGTGCTTT